CATTGATCAGAAAGTTCAGTTGTCTTTTTTCTCTGTTTAGATGTGACCATTTCAGTGTATAAAAAGAATAAATGAAGTAGCCGCTAACGGCTGTTTCCAAGACTGGTGGATGAGCATGAAAATATTTAAAAAAAAATAAAACTCAGTCATCTTTAAAGCTAAAACATCTGAAACAGCCTCCACGTTCTTGCTGACTTGGGATTTTACCAAGGAGAAAGTTGCACAATACAGAGCAGTCAACTACACGTGTAATCAGTGTCGAGACTCGGCAGAAATTAGTATCGTGAAGAGGTGATTTTTATGAGTTGAGAGCTGCTGAATTTTGCAGCTTTTCTCAATTGCTTTGAAATGTACTCTCATCAATTAATGACAGTTTTCTCAAATAAATTCTTATATATTTGTTTGTACCTACTAATTATTTGATTTCTAGCAATGTGACTAGTACTTTGAAAAAAAAAATCATTTTTCTTCTAAGTAGAATCCATTGCTGAAAATAAGGGAGATTCATATGCAAGTTCCTTAGAAATGTTGGGTGCCTCACATGATGTGCTTTGAGCTTGATCTTTCAAGATGCCAAGCACCTGCAGTTTTTAGCGATTTCAAGCAAGAAACTGGTGGCCTGGATTCAGCTGCTTATTGTAGGGACAGACAGCTGTTGTAGGGGTAAGGCATTTTTTCTCCATACAAGGAATACAGAATATTCTACACGTTGGGCTGCAGTGGATTTAAAGTTGCAGAAGAGAGTCCTGGACAGTGCCAGTCACTTCGCTGTGATTCAGGAAAACTACCAGAAGACAACAGATGAGGATCAGGTATTTTTCTGAAAGTTTTAATTGACCAAATCTCTAGGCCATAAGTAAATCTTCCTGCTTCTACGTATAAAGTTAAACCCGCGTGTTTTGGTTTTGTTTTGTTGTTTGGTTTTTTTTTTGGTAACAGTACTCATTTCACCTTCAAAAGAGGAAGAGGGTGTTTCCATTTTTAGTCTGAAATTCTTTGAAGTATTCCTGCTCCATAGAACAGGGATCTGGATAGAATTTGACAAAAAAATTAATTCCTTATTTTAGGTTTGGTTTCAGCAATAAAGAAGCTAATGAGATCACATCTGTTTTTGTCCTGATACACTCTACAGCAGTCCACTGGAAACAGCACTGTTTGCTTACAGCTTTTTCTTTTATTCCAAACAGAACCTAACCCAGCCTAAATAAGTGTTCTTAAACACACAGCAAGACTGCTACGTGAGCCAATTAGCAACCACTGTGATGTTACTTACCCATAGCTACGATTAAGAGTTGCTTGCAGTTTCACAATGACAGCTACATAATATTTAGACAGACCTTAAAAACATTTTCTTTGGCATATGACAGAATGAAGAAACATCACCAAAAAATCCCCCAAAAACTTCATTCCACAAGTAACATTTGAATACTGACATCTGGAACAGCTGGCTAACAAGTTGTGCGTGTCAAGTTCAGAAAGCAGCTGCTTTTAGCCTCCATTTTGGGCCAGACGTTTGCTTTCAGCCACCAGTATATTCCATTTTATTTTGTAGCAGCTTCCTCAGTGTTCCCATATGGACAAGCTAAACAGCTCCAAGGATGTAACAGCAAGTACATATAATGTTCTTTAGAAGAAATGAAGGCCAGATGTTGCTTTGTTATCTTCACGTGCATCCTTAAAAAAGTTAAATTGTTTCAGATATATTATTAATGCCAGGTATAGGCAATTTGTTCATTGGCCGTTCAAACGTTAACTTTCCAAAGGATGGAAAATAACATTTTGACTGAAGATTCAAACTGAAAAAAGATTAAACTACCCTAGAATAACTTAAGAAAATAAGTATAGCAAAATCCAGGATCACTAGGACAAAAAAGTATTGTGCAGAAAAGGCTTGATGACCCACTTCTGAGATCTGAGTGAGTACTATTTATGGTTTATTAGAAAAGAAAAAAAAATCCACACCTTTTTGTTAGAATATAATGAAAATTTTGGGGGTAAGAGTTATCCAGCACCACCGCTGATTAAAGATCTTCCACCCTGCTCCTTTACTCAACCAGGATATAACTTAAGCCACCAGTCCAAGTGCTAGAGAATTTAGTAGATCTATTACTGTGTAATCCATTAACGTTTTTCATGCATGTACTCCTGGTTACTACATCTAGTGGATCCAATAGGGTGAGTAATAATTCTTTCCCAGACTGTCCAATTAAAGTGATTTAGATAGAAATGAACTGTTCAAAATTTTTTCCGATTTCCTGAAAATAGAACCTTATTGGATTCATTCTATGACAGATATATTTATGAGGAAATATTAACTGAAGACTACTTTTTCCCCCTCAGTAATAATATAAACAAGGTTTGGGTTTCAACTACCTGGTGAGGTCTTTCTCTTTGAGCCAGTCCACGACACACAAAAACTGCCAAAACACCAACTATAACTTTTTGAGTAATGTCACTTTATTAAGGGACTTAAAAGAATCACATTCTCTAGTAGTCTTGGAACAATGCAAATGGTGAACAAAAGACAAAAATAGATGTAATTGGTTCTGAAAAGCACGAACATCTGTAGAGAATGTGTTGCATTATTCCTAAGGACTCTTGCTTTTGAAAAAAAGCACATGTTCCATATATACAAGTGTCAGTGCAATAGCCAATAAAGCAGTCAGTCAGAAATATAAAAATATCCTAGATACAAACTTAAAATAGATGTTTGAAGGCTGACAGTATCAGTATTCTGATATTTCTGTACCTCAGGAGTATGATCACTGGGATGAGCTGTTCTGATGAGGTAAGAGACAGTAGATGCTCTGTGATAACACAGAGCTGTACATTTTCCCCGTAAGACACAAAAAAAAATAGAGCACCCAATGAAACTGCAAGTCTTTGCTGCAAGTGCCCACAGGAAGTGAAATTATAGTCTATGAGCATTAACACATTCCCGCATCATTTACGTTTGCTGTCTTTGCCAACAGTTATACCAGCAAAAACCTGCTAATTCTCCCACCCTCCCCCAGCTTCAGTATGAACTGCACGTACTTCGCAGATGTACCAAACTGACAACGGCGTTAAACACAGACAAGGTCTGTAAACGTCCAAAAACCACTTAGTCATTCTTGCCTTTATTGGTTGCAATTCTTTTCTTTGCAGCAAGGACAGAAAGAGATTGCAAAGCCTGACAGCTGAACAGCTCTCTCTAGAAGGGTTAGGGAGAGAACTGGGTGTGTCATATTTGCTTTGCCCCAGGTGTTCCAGTGATGCCACTGAGCTTGAACCTCAGCTGGTTGAGCAATAAAAATCACGTTCCTCTTGTTCGCTCTGTTTTGGATGGAAGGACATGCTAATTTGGGGCTACTGTTTCAAAAAAAGAAGAAGAAAGGCTATTTGGTCAAACTTCCAGCTGGATGCTGTCTGCCTGCATCGTAATTCATCTTCTTTCCTTCAGCCATCTCTTTCACCATGACCCTCCTAGCTCTGCTGCTAAATTCTGTTTCCTATTTCTTCAACTTTTCAAAGAAAATGGCAGAACGACAGGTAGGCAGACAGTGTTCTCCGTGTCTTCGTGGCAAAGAGCCCCAGGAAGAACTGGCAGCAGAGCTGGGAATGGCAGAAGAGCACAGCAAACACAAACTCCTACTTAGGGGGGGGCAACGATAAAGAGTTAATTTCAAACTGTGCGTCAATCTCAGGCACTCCTCTATCGAAAAGCACAATGAATTATATGTACAGCAATATTAACTTGAACAGGATATCATTTGTATGATTAAAAAAGCACAACAGGAGCTGGAAGTTGTCTTCTTATGAAACTTGCCTTACCACTTACGGCACACACGTGCACTGAAGCACACAGCAGTTGCCTGAACCTTTAAAAGATTTCTTAGCTTTACATCCTAGATTCAAAAGCTTTCCCTTAAATCTTTTCATTTTTCATCATTCTTTTCTAAACCTCTTTTGTCTCAGGCAAATTCAGACAGCTGTGTAAGACGGAAAAGTCAAGCTATTAACATCTGTAGTATGACGACACTTGACAAATTATTTCAGGTTTTCTTTCAGTTTCTGGAAGATGCTTTGCAGATGTCAAAGCCTCAAGGAATCATCATACTTCTCTCCTTAACCCCACTGAACGTGGCATTCAACATTTGCAAATATTGAATTACTACTCACCACACCCCAGTAAGACAGGCTATTACCTCTCAAGTAAACAGGCAGGGAACGGAGGCACAGAATGACTAAGTGATTATTCCAACATCACGATACAAGTCTGGGAGAGTCAGGAGCTGAACCTGTAGTTCTTGCGTCTCAGTCTCACGTTGTCTTTTTGTTCTGTGTTGCAGCCTTATTCTTTCCCGTAGAGGAAGACTGGAATCTCTTAAGAGTCTGTCACTGCTACTCTGGTTGACGGGTGATGTCGCCAATGAGATAAGAATTGTTGCATTCCCCACAGCAAAAGGTGGAACACAGTGTGACATCTGTTTGCTGGAAGAAATACTAACCATACAAGTCCTTAAGAACATCAACATTTATTTAATAGGATATAAAAGAAATGGGATATGAACATTCGTATTTGAACAATAGTAAGTGGCTTCTTATACTTACATCATATGTGCTCATTGTATAATATATACACAATGAACATAATTACATTTGTACACAAACTAAGTACTGGATTGAAAACCTGCTTATTGCTGTACACACCCTAACCCAACGAAGGAAAAGCCCAGTACCTCAAAATACCTACACTCCATTTTATTTAAGAAAAAGTAACCACTAACATTCATGTATATGTTGACAGAAGTGTGGCAGTAACTGCTGACATTGCAACCTGACCAAGAAATAATTACAGCAGAAACAGGACATATTTTACCAAGCAATAATAAAAATGGCACATTTTAAATATATCTATATGTATATATATATATATAAAAATTTTACAAATAAAATGTTAAAACAATAAATTGTAGTGTTTAAAAAGTGTAAAACAAGGTTTAGTGGTGATATGTAAAATTAACCGAGTTAAGCATCTAAAAGAAGCAAAAAAGTAAACTTAAAGGATCCGTAATTAAAAGAACATTAAATTCTGAAGAATATCAAATAAAGTTCTGACTGTAGGCTGCACATTAAAAAAGAGCCTTTATTTTATGTGCACAGAAATCATAGCAGCAAGCTGGTATCAGGAGAACAATCGGAAGGTTGTTGAGTGTACATGTGGGCCATTTAAAGCTCTCTTGGAATAAACATTTCCCAGGAAGTGATAAAATGATGCTCTGTGGCCAAAAGCATCAGAACTATGAATTTCATAGATTTAAAATATACTGTACAATATCTTCTCATATTTTCATAGGTCAGGTCCATACATCTCAGGCATGAATTGTTTCAACAGAAGCCATTAGTGCTGAAAGACAGACATAGATTAAGTTACTCTATTTTAGCAACAACAGAATATTGTATAAAGCAACTCCTGGGATTAAACACAGCAAGGAATTTCTGACCTCATCCTAGCAGTAATTATCAATGGTGTAGAACATAAAGTGTTTTAGAAATCGGTTGTTTCCAAAATCAGTTTTCCTGATGAATAATACTGCTGTCAAGATACTTTGACAGCAAGAAGCAGAAGCAAGCTTTTTCCACATTTACACAACTTCGTGTGAAAGCCCGTTTATTCTGAGAGTTTTACCCTGTGTACGTGGTGGCCATCTCCAAACGTTCTTCGTATAAAACCGGTAATATTAGCAAAGACCCTAATTGCTCTTACAAACGACAGGCACGGTTTGAAGAGGGATGCAGCAGTGTTCAGTTGCTACATCGCAAGGGCAGGGTAGCTGTGAGGTGTTCTGAAGTTCAAGCGCTGCGCCCAGAGCTTGCTGCATTTTGGTAATTGCTGAAAGGACTTCTATAAATAGCTTTTAACAGTTCGTTAGTAAAAATGTTTCTGAGCTTTGGATGCAGGTGCTGTACAAAATGTCATTATCCCTCCGTTACTCAGTGTAAACGTAATGCTTAAAACGTAACAATGTTAGCGTAGTACACATCCAGATTTGTCTCTGCAAAGCAAGGGCCGTGACAAAGAAAGTAGCTTTGTGTTAGTGGGTTTTTCCTTAGTCCTACAATATCCTGTGCCACCAACTTCCTATGCCAAATTCCCCTGGCATCGTGCCAAGAGTATCATTTTACTAATTGACCGTAAAAGCCAAACTTGGGTATTACCTCATTATTCTCTGAAATCTACCATACATTTTCCAGATGCTGCCTGAAAAATTTGGTTGCGTAGGAACAGGGCTGATCCCACAGCTCCGAAGTTCCCTCTGCCGCGTAGGATTTCTTGCCTCAGAGACACGGAGTTCTCGCACGTTAAAAGACCTATCTTTCAACAAAGCACAAAACACTGGACTACTGGAAGAGCAGCCCCGGAAGGTAAGGGGCAGTCAGTACTGCCGGCAAGCAGACTGTGCTTCATGCATCTCCTACGTCTACTAGGCCCAGCTCACGGCATGAATTTGTCTTGGAGCTCCTAGGAAACAGCCAACAAGAGGCATCGAGCGCGGCAAAGAAACATGGAACGTATATGCACAGAGTTGAATACTTTTTCCAACTCTATTCAAATACTAAACAGCCAAAAGGGGTGTATTTTAAGTTCTGGAATCCTTGCTTCATTACCGTGAGGCATGTGTAAGCAGAGCATTAGTTTTACAGGTGCCATGCCAGATGCACTGTTTTGGCATAAGCAATTAAGGCTTATTTGTAGAATCGTACTTAACGCAGAGAAGTCACAGCTGCAGTATTACCTACGAGGATACACCACGCTGTGGGATGTCAGGGCTTGGGCATTAAGTTACAAAGCAGATCACTACATAAGCGCTTCACTGTCGCTAATCTCACATTCAGCATGAATACTTAAAAAAAAGAATCCGCTGATCTGATCATTGGAACTGATGACAAGAGTTGAAAGCAACTTAATGCAATTAGTAAAAAGTTTCCGGTGAAGCTATAGGTTTCTTTCCCTTTCAAGAGAGGCGTGCTGTGGCTATGGCCAGAATTCAGCAGTGCAGTTTCAGTTTCACTACTGACCTGAAACCGAGTTGATGGGGTAATGTTTGTCCTATTTAAGAAGATGATGCATGATAAATGCATGTGTATTTATACAGTGAAACTGAAAAGCATTAACACAAATCAGTATTTCCAGAAAAACTCAATAGTCCCACTTATCTTTTTTAAATACTTCTGTAATAAAACTTTTCCATAAAAGTACAAAAGTCCAAGATAAATCTAATCATGACAGACCACATCCATCAGGAAGCCAGCAACACAGGTGGCAGTACTGGATGTGAAGAGTGCATTTCCCACTCTCTCAAAAGGAGAAAAAGATGAAAATAATTTTTTTTTTTTTTTTTAAAGACAATAAATAGTTTCCTGGCCATAGTTCATACAAGAAAGGCGCCTGTGATGAATAAGTTTAATATTGCTAAGATGAAAGCTTGGCAATACAGATTGGGACAGTAAACGAAAAAAAGAAAAAGGCATTTTCAGATCTCACGCTAAATGACTGAAAACATCTCTATTTTAAAGTTTTCTTGATTTTAAAGTTTTCTTAAGTTACATTAGCTATGGCATTTAACATTACTACTGAAACAAAGTTCATTCTTTTAGTAGAAAGCTTATTTAAACAGGTACTTCCTGACAACAAAGAAACGTGGATTGATTTAAATGCTGGTAAAGTGCTGAAGCATTCACATCGGTATCCTATTAATTTCTTTAAACACTTGTATAAACAAATACGCTTACTTATATTTCCATTTCCATTCATTAAGTCGGTAACACTACAGGTAGGAACATGTAAATCTAGCCTAACTCATGCTTTCTAACTTGATTCCTAGAAGAAATTGCCTACTATGACAAGGGAAGAGAAACAGTGTGGGGCTATCTCTATAGAAAGAAAAAAAAAAAGTTTTGTAATTGTTACATTTCTTCCACCCTCATTTTTTCCCTTCCTGTTTGTCATGCCTCAGTCATCTATGTCTTAAGCCATAAACTCTTTGGGCCATTAGACCATTCCCTCCTACACATCACTAAGAGACCTAGCTCTAGTTGCCTATTACCGCGACTGAAGCGTCAAGATTCATTTGCACCGGAGCACCGATGCTCATACCTTAACTGGGTATTTGTTTTGTAACAGCTTAGGTCTCTCATGTAATTCCAAGGGCTATTAACTTGCCAGTTGTGGAGAATGTGCTTGATAAGCCCATTAATCCCTTCTCTTTGTATTTGGATGGAGAATACATTCCTTGCAAGCAAATCAATACATGCATTTGTTTTGTTTTCTGTTTAGTTTCTGTTCAACATTGCAGATAACTTTGTCTTGCCAAGTATTGTCTACAGATGTTTCTTGGAAAAATAACTAGAACATATATACTTAGAAAAATACTAGGAAAATGGCAGGAGGGGTGGGGAAAGAGAGACGTACTTCTCTGTAACTATACACACATGAAATGTGATCCTTCTGTGAGCTGCGTCTGTGTAGATGGAGCTGGTGACAATGACGATTCTGGTGAAGAAGGCAAACTTTTCACTGCGAGTCATACAGCAAGATAAATAAGAATACAAGTTACAGAAGGCATGATTTCAAGCCATAACAAATATAAGCTTGAAAATCACCATTTCAAGCCATAATAAGTATAAGCAGAACCAAATGAAAGTTACATAAGTAAAGACTTAAAATCTGATCAGCACAATGAGCACAAGTTCAGGGGAGAGCATAGATGTTCTCAGGAAAGATCATTACTCAGGCCTACAAATGACTAGCAGAACACCTAAGGAACAAACAGCAGACAGATGAATGCTGATGTGTTATTTGTTGCTGATATGTTGCAAAGAGAGGGGGAAAAAAAAAAAGTACAGTTTAACTAGTCGGCATACTCCCAGACCCACCTTTATATCCCAGCTCAGATTAACTAAGCATTTTTTATTCTGCTGAGCACTATAAAATGTATTTACAAGTTCTGGTTTCAATTATCAAGTCACAGAAAGGATCGCTGACTGCACTACAAAGGTCCAGGTCACCTTTTATATCCATAAATTGAACGATTTGGCTTACTTAACCATTCCCATCACCAAATATCCTAATAATGTCTTAAATTCTATCTTTTTCCTTCCTCCTCCCTTACTCACTCCCCTCCTTTTTTCTCTTTGCCAACAATTTTTCTTTACTCCAGCCTTCTCTTCTTGCAAAGTAATACACCACCAGTCGTTTTACCAGTCGGCTAGTGTTTTCTGTTTCTTCATCTTTTCTTTCTCCTGAAAAGATGACCAAACCGGGGTCTTTCACTTCCTCATTCAAAATCCATTAGATATATTGGAAACTCTCAAGGATTCCTCAATCTTGGGCATACCTGAGGCCATCCATTAGCAAGGAGGTAAGGGTAAATAATCTATACATATCCAGGATTGAAATGCTGTTCTGCAAGATGAATAGGGAAGGATTTGCTCCAAGCAACAACTATAGTATGACTCGATTTCTGGCAATAGTTATTTAATTCCCTGAATTAAATGCAAGCATAAGATCTACATTAAAATCTCAGAAAAATGGAATTTCTGTAGTTGTCCGCTGGGAAACTGTTTTTCTCTACGTTACGAAACCATACACTTGACATAGAGACTAGCTCAGCACTTTCAATTCACAAGGGTTTGAGAATGTCAAAAGACATGATCAAAATGAAATCGTTTTACATATGTACTGTATAAGCTGTGCTTCAGTCTAACTCTTTTCCATACCTGCTGTTGCCTGATTTCCTTTTGAAGACTGTGCTGCTAATTCAAAAGAAGAAATAATCCCTCCTTGTCCTTGAACACTAACTGCTTCACTTTCTTCTGAGCTGGTTTTGGGTTTGTGGTTTGTAACTGTGGTCACACTCTGCAAGCTGGTTAAAAAAAAAGCACAGCGTTTAGAACTCACTCTAACTTAATTTCAGGTGCTAAGTACAGGAGTGAATTTAATTTTCTTCTGTTAATAGAAAAAAGTTGCAACTTGCAAGTTTGTGTAATATAAATTAAGCACGTATTTTGAAGCCCTTCTACCTTGTAAAGTTAAGACTTAAAAAAAAAGCACTGGAAACTGAATTCCTTTCCTTCACATACTCATGCAGTTTCCTTCTGCGTGATACCTATTTTGCTGAAGGGTCCTGTAAGTAAGTTACGACCTAATGTAAGAACTCACTTAGGATCTGCAGTGCAACTTACACTGAAGTTATGAATCCTTAAAGAGGAATATCCAAGACACAGTATTCCTCTGATTCTGCAATACTCCAAAATAGTGAAGAAAAAGTTAAAGCAGGAGATACAGAATAAGCTGTTTAGTCTGCTCCCGAATGTGATGTTTTCCTAAATATCAGTGGTAAAGAGCTTGCTATGGAAGCCCTGGCTGAAGCTTTCCTAATAAACTGATACAAAGTTGAAATGACATTACTAAATACATTTTGTATCCCAAAGCAAGGATTATGAACATATTCTGTTTATAACTGGGGCAATACTTGAAAATAAACATTGCTCCTCCCACCAACTCATCACCTCTTACTGAACTGGTTAGGTTTCTCACTACATTTCTCTGTATGTAAACCACTCAAACACGCATAAATATACCTTATAAGTATTTACAACAGTATTTCATTAGTTGCTTGGTCCGTTCAGCTAATAAATACAATGTGCAAGTTTAAAATAGCCTCAGAACATCTTGTTTTATTTTTACCTTATATCACCATCATGTGTTTCTTCCAATTTACTTTTCTTTTCCTTTTCTGCTTTCTCTTCATTACTCACTTCTTTTGAGTCAGATACAACATGTGCATCTGATAAAAGATCATCAGTTTTTGTCAGCTATAAAAAAATTGAAATCATGAAACAAAAAGCTGTAACGCATACTAAGTGGTAGATAAGAAATACAGTATCAGGAAACAGTTTTATTAACAGACAAATTTTGCCATCATGTATACTTAGTAACTCAGAATTACATAACTTAAGAAATTTTTATCAGTACCATTCAGGTTAATAGAGTCATCCTGAACCTTATACCAGAGCCAATGGGCTGGGCCTGGCTTAATAACTTCCAGAACTTATCTGATCTCTTTGGATTGCAGCCTGCCTATTTTTTCATGCTATCCCTCTCTTCGCAATGCCAACAGAGATTCCAGCTACTGGAACATATTGCTGATGAGCCTGAACACTGCTCTTAAAGGTCTGATTACATATGGCCAACGTAAGTGTGTTACATAGTTTTCCTTTAGAAGATTTGCATACTTTAAGCAACAGACTCTCAATACAAAGTGTTTTTAAATAACAACAACAGATGTTAATTATTTGATTTTATACCATTCTCCATCAGACATATGTTTAAAAAAAGCCGAATATAGAATAGGAAAACAAAAGGAAAAATGAGTCAGGAAAGAAATATTAAACTATAAGCAGGATATGATTATGTAGAAACAGCTCCAGTAATCTGTTCTTCACAGTCAGTCTGCTTTTGCTGAGTGTTCAGGGCACCGTCGTACCAGAAACACCACGGTACTTCACCGCCAAGTGAGTTTGAGACTATCGTCAAGACAGAAATCAACCCGGTGACCAAATGGCACAAACTACCGTTACTGCCTACTTCCATGCATAGATCGTTGTGCCAGCTTTGTTATGCTTCCTATAAACTATGTGATGCACTAAAGCCAACCAAACAAAAAGTCAGGTGTATTAAATGATTGTCAAAAACTACGCTGGGATATCCTAAGCAACGAACAGATCAATGATTATTATTTAAAGATAAATTAGCATCAGTTTTGTTTCCAAAGAAGTAGAGACCATGATTTTGTAGTTTTCCAGTCAATCAAGATAGTAACACATGATGTTAAGTAAAATGAAATTTAGGAAGATTATAGACAAGAAAATCCAATTTCTCAGCTACAGACAGATCCGATACAATTTTGCACTTCTCTACAGAATATCTGTTACATCCAAAAAGATCTCTTAATCTTCCAAGCAAAAGGAACTGGCTCAATTTCCCATACTCTGCTGTCTGTGGCTCAAAAATATTTTTCTACTGCAAGACAGGCTGATGAACAGTTCAATAAAGGATAGTTTAGTACCTCTTTAGTAACACCTGAATTATGTTCTTGTTCTCCATCATGTTTTAGTTGCACTATTTCTTCTCCAGGACTTTCATCATTTTGTTTTAAATTATTTTCTTTACTGGTGCTCCCCAATTCCTTCATGTTACCAGATACAGTATCATCCTTTTTTCGATTCTGTGGAACAAAATTGATATATAGACATATTCTTAAAAAAGTTATCACAGTCTCAGTTCTGAGTCTTGTGCTATCCTCTGACTGCGATAACAAAAATATTTAAAAAACCTTAAGCATACCACATTGCAATAAGGAAAATGGAAATTGTTAAGGACTTAGAAGGTTCTCATTTTTGTACCTTTCGAAACAGTTCAAATACTTTTTTCTCTGTAAGATTATTGTACTTTCTGTGCGCCCCCCCGCCCCAATCTCCAGCATTTCTATTAGTCACCTTTGTCTTCTGAAATTCCATTCATATTTAGCTCAGTCACACACAGGCTTCAGAGCATTCTTATTTGCATTCATAAGCACTGCTTTTTTAAAAAATAGCTTTTTCTGGTTAAAAAAAAAAAGAAGAGATGGATAAAAATCTGCTCTCAATACAAAATTCACTGTGCACCTGCGTGCATTTTCTCCAATTATCTTGGGTGTCTTCCAAGCCTATGCTGTTAACTGATTTAACAGAGGACAACACAGCATCTGATAGTGGCAGAGGATATCACTTATTCCTTAAAAAAACATAATCCATTGCACAGAGAATAATGATATCAAAAATTTGAGGAAGGATGGTAGAAGTGACTTAAGACTGTGAGCTGCGAACATCATGTTTGGCAGCAAACGGAACTGAAGTGAGTTTCGTATAAGTCTTATCAAACTAAGTACTAGGGCTGAGAAAAATAGGAGCCATGAAAGTAGTAAATCTTGTGGCTGAATTCCTGTGATTTAGCACATGCACTCTGTTAAGAGGAAATTCCATGCAAGTCAGTTCACAAATCAATCTCTTTGCTTTCCTAACTAAAGCATGCACCCACAACATACACTTGTCCCAAACAATAACAACTGTGAAGCAACTTCCTTTTGTATTTCAGTAATCACTTAAAAATTACGCAGTAGGCTGTTTATAAAATCCTTTTTTTCCTCCAAATCTTAAATAACCAAACCCCAGCTGTAAAGACTTCCAGCAGTTAATGCCACTGCACCATTTTTCTGTATAAAAATCAAGAGGCATAGAAACTACGCTTTTAAAAATAAGAGCTATTACTACAGTGTAATACCTCATCTTGGGTTTTTTTGCCAAATAGCATTCTGGAAGAATTAAAGTTGTGATAGAAAAAGTGATTTTGTAGCACGGACTGCTAGCTAAATATTAAATTCAGACACGTTCTCACTTACTCTGTAAATTTCTTATCTCATCCACGTAGCACTGATCTCACACAGAAGACTGAAGAACGTGCTGACATGAACAAAATTCTTTTGAGTTCTGTATAGCAAGTAGTGCTGGCACAGAGAATTTGGCCACTTCCCCCACTCTGGTCCCAATGTGCTGGCTCACCAGGTATGACACGTACATGACTGCAGTTTCCTCACCTCGAGGTATGAAATGATACCATAGGAAAGTGGTAAAGCTCAGCCACCTCTATAAAAACTACAAAAAGAAACATCTGCAAAGCCTTGCTTTGCACGTCCTCTTCTTGAGAAAGGCAGCATTAATCACAAAAATATTTGTAGGACCCCCCTTCATGTATAGCATTCGTGATGTCATCCCAAATACAGATGCTGTACTGCAAAGGCAAAACTTGAATTCAGTGTCTTCTGGGGATCCAATGTTGTTGAAGGAAAAGTAACTTTAGTATAGCTCTGAAGGCAGTTTAGCATGTTCAGAGGTAAAAAAAAAAAACCTAAAACTTACTTGGAAATATGTGACTTCTTAACAGTGCAATGCATTTAATCTGGTTTTGGAAAAATCAGATGCTAAAATGTGTACAAAACATAAAAAGAAGGCATTTCCATGTCAGTGTTAAAAAAAAATAAAAATCAAAACCAGTGTGGTCTGAGGAAAAAAGTATGCCAGAAGATTAAAAAAAAGGTAACTCCATTAAGCTATTGAAAAAGAAAACTAATTCTTAGCAGTTAGAACGTAGTAGGCTGTCTAACATCCACTACCCTGAATCTATTTGATATTTCTGTCCTGAAATGGTGTGGGGTTTTTTGTTTGTTAGTTGGGTTTTGGGTTTGTGTCTGTCTGTCTCTTTTTTTTTTTTTGTAAGATGTATATTCAGGATAGTATTTCCTGGTTAATGACCAGCAGTTATATCTTCCTCCTCTCTCCCCACCCTTAACCATTGAATAAACTCATTTCTTTGCCTTAATTGTTTAAGAATGAGTGAAAAGTGAGGGTTCTATTTTTATGTATTTACGGGCTCAAAAACCACAGCAGAAGAGTACCAGTTAAGAGCTATCATCATAAATACACATTCCTACCTAAAAACGTTACAGATGTTTGAATATATTACATGGGAGAAAAATCTTCATAATTTATACATCAACTGAATCATGATTCTCCCCGACACTGCTTTTAGTCACAAAGCTTGCAATTTCATGTTGTTTGCTAGGCTTGACCAAAAAAACCCGTTAACAAACATCACGACGCATAATCAAACATACGTAGATTTGAACGATTTCTTTTCCAAAAAGACAGAGAAGTGACTTCTACTACCATTAGGTATAAGCACGAAGGTTGTCTTCTCCCTTTCTCTTGTGTATGGCAGAGAATTGTGACTGTTACGCTGTACAAGCAGTCTCAAATAGACACCTATAGTGTCATGTGATTTTGGAAAAAGAACAATTTTGTAACTTTTCTCTTAATTGGACACTTTAAAGTTTTTGAAGAACGTGGCACCCACCTGTGCCAATTTGAATGGATTATCTCTGACAGACGGCAGACTCTGTGAAGGAGACTGGTCTGAAACGCCAATGATATTGAGTCCTTTTCTCTTCTCTCTCAGGCAAGCTTGTTATAGTGTCTATAGACACCTATAGCAGTCTCAAATAGACACCTATGTGATTTTGGAAAAAGAACAATTTTTTAATTGGACACATTAAAGTTTTTGAAGAACGTGGGACCCACCTGTGCCAATTTGAATGGATTATCTCTGACAGACGGCAGACTCTGTGAAGGAGACTGGTCTGAAACGCCAATGATATTGAGTCCTTTTCTCTTCTCTCTCAGGCAAGCTTGTTGGTGTCTCTTTATTCTTTCCATCTGTTCCTCCACAGTCATTCGAGGCCGTGTGCTTTCTGCAAGACACAGCTGCTCCACTGCACTTCTTGGTCTTTCCTTAAATGGAAGAAAATATGTATATACACACACACTTGTTTTAAAAAAAAGCAAGATTCTAAACTGTTTAGCTTATCAGTAAAAATCACCTAATGATTTACTAAGGAGCAGAAAAATAATGGGCAAGTAAAGATCTCCTATGTATGTGAAGAAAGTACAAGGACCAATTATTACTAAATGAACACCGAAATTCAAAATAAAGGAAGGAATAATTTGCTTTTTTGAACAGTGACGTTACCACCATCAATAATAAACATTAAGAGAATGGGTAGATGCTCTCTTAAAGCCATCCTATGAAGTTGAAACAATTTACCAGACATTAAATGACAGGCAAACACAAGTTACTTGATTGAGACAGAAACATAATCGAAATTTAACGATCCAGGACATTTAAACCAGTTGATCTAATAGCGATTTCTGCCTTTTTATTTCAAGAAGAACCAGAGCTGGACATCATTTAACGGCAAGTGCAGGCTGACACAAAGTGAATTTATCACCACTTAAAAATCTGTAATTCTAAGCATTATATTACTTCCAAAATAACAACCATCACTTTACCTACTCTGTTCTTGAAATTCACTGACGTTCAGACAGATCTGTACTTCGTATGACAGAAAAAAATTTACTTCGGGCTAATCAGCTGCATTCTGTACGTTCACAGTAACTGATTTCACTTCTAAAAAGCAGTATTCTTTCTCCAGTCAACATCCTGTGAGTTTCTCTCTCCTCTCCCATTCTTCCTACAACTTCTCCTCTTCTATTCATGCTGTAACTATGGCAAAAGTTTTCCTCCCTTTTGCATGAACTACCTGTAAACGTCTGTCTGCAACCCAGAGATTACAGGACTCTCTAATCTGAAATTCCAGGCTTATTACCCACATACTGCTTACTGTACCCTTATTTTCTGGCCGCTTTAGGTATTTCCCAAATCATTTTAGTAGTTAAATAAAGAAAAGCCACTATTTATTACACAAGGGTTGTTACATTGCCTCAGAAGCCAAATACAAGTCCTTCAAAGTTTTAACCTAAGACGCTTTATGTCCTTTCAACTCAAGCCTGAACTTCAGCAGCTTAGTAGATTTATCATTACCATTTAGTTCTTGCCCAGTTTGACTGTCTCTACGCAGTTTAACATACAAGACCTTTATACTTTTGTCATTCTTTCTACAGCTGTCTCCACTAACTTAGTATATTATATTTTTATAACAGCGAATTTTTAGCACATCACTATCCATCAATGCTTGAAGGTAATTTTCAAGTACCGTTCTTAGATCTATCTTCTTATTCTTCCTCAAAGTGACGTAGGACGCTATTGTTGAAGACTCTGGCGTTGGTGATTTGGTTCTGGGTGGTACAACTCCCACGGGAAAATGTGAGCCTGCAAAACAGTAAAGCAATGTACTAAGTTCTATGCAAAACATTGCCAAAACAGTTTATTGCTTTCTAGAAAAGACATGTTGCCAGCCTTGGAAGCTATCCTTCAAAAGACAGCAAAGATCTTAATGCCTAACTACCACGTCTGTTCAGGTATGCAGGCAGATGACTTTCCCCATGGGAAACTACTGCACACAGCACAAGAAATTGCTGGACATAAAAACATAGCCATAAAAATTTTGTCTGTGAGAAAGAGACACAAGTTAGATAGCACTGTGTGGAACGGCTAGATTTCACAGATGGTTAAGGGGAAATTACGTGAAAGATGGCCAAACTTCAAAGACAATCGGGCGTCAGTACTGGGAACTTTTTGTGGAATAGAGTTTGCAAAGCCAGCAGAGTGCCTAGGTAACCGTATCAGTGCTGCCACTTAAGGCCAAGCTTACCTAGATAATGGTGTCGAAGATACAGAACTTAGCAAAAGTGGGACCAATGAATAAAAAGTAATTACAGGTGGGTTGTTTATTTGGGAGGAAACAAAGGCTGCGAAAGGGATGGGGCAAAGCAGATGGGAAAGAACAGGCGTGGAATAATGGAGAGGAGGGGGAATAAAAGGGGCCAGCTTTGCATAAACAAGCTGTTTGTCAGTATGCTGGTCCGACCAAGCCCCGTGCCTTAGCATTGCAGTCTGTCCTATCTTATTAAATTTTATTCTTTTTTCCATGTGAGTCTGCTTTCCCTTCTACACACGAGAGCGTGAGAGATGCTACTGATCTTCAAGCCAGGCTAGCTTGCCAGTAGGAGACAGCTGCAGAGAGATCATACATAGGTCTGGGGGACAAAGACAGGAAAGACTGCAGGTCTGCGGGTTGGCTGCCAGAAGGACCGTAAGTATGGACCTGCTACCAGGGGGAACCTTTTGTCTGCGAGATGCTAATGAACTTAAGACAAGACTAGATGGCAAGCAGAATACAAGGTGTGGGAGTCAGCTGTCCAAGGGACCTTAGGTCTAGGATTCAGATACTGGAGAGGCCAGAGGTACTGAGAGTTGACTGATGGAGATACCATAGGTCTGGCCAGCTCTTGGAGGTGCTCATTTGTGTGCGTGCACACACGTGTGCTCATGTCTATATGTGCATGAGATCAGCTAGCAAGCTTTGAGCCTGGTTAGCTGGTGAACGGCTGATCCTGAGAACAGGATCACGTTATTTGTGTTGTTTCACCTTCACGTGAGTGCTGGTCTTGTTTATGCGGTGCCTGGAACAGCACTGGTCTCAAACCTGTTCGCGTTACCTGTTGTGGTTAGCTGTGGCTGTGCTTGTGCACAGCGGGTCTACGTCCTCAGCCGTGCAGCTCGCTGTACTTAGGGACAGGGAACCGCAGCAGCCGGGCTCTGTCTGGTGGGGAGCTGAAGATACTCCGTGTCCTGATGTCCACTACATTCAGCCGCTCGTAACAATACCCACCACTAGTTTTTCTACTTAGAGAAGCCCTGCCAAAATGTAATTAAGCTGGTAGAAAACTGAAGTGAGTTAAAACCTACCAAAATATATAGATATAATTAAATAACACATGCTTCATTTTTGCTTCTTGATACATGCAGGAAATCCAACTATTAAAAATATTGTTTCCTCACTGATTTTGCCTAAAAATACATATAATGTCTTCTTTGATAGCCAAATTATTTCTCTTTGTTTTTCCTGAAGTTGCACAGATTTCAGAGGAGATATTGACTCGGTGAAGGCTCAACTCTTTCTCCAAATTGTTTGATAGGCTGACAAAATAGCCTGGAGGTATTTGAATGTCAAATCCATCATTCAAAACAAAAACTATAAAGCAACAGTTGGGTCTCCTTTAGATGTAAAGAGGATAAAACACAGCAGAAGTCCATTTTCCTTTTGTGTCACCTTTATGTACCACTCAGGTCATAAATATTCCTCTGCTTGCAGACAGCTGTAAGGGTTACTTTACATAGTCCCATTAAAATGTTTCTCTTTGACTGTTGACATTTGAAAAGAGAGGGAAATGGCTGACAGAAGAAACATGAGAAGCGTCTAGTACGGTAACATGCACAATGAACTAGAAAAACATTTTTTTAAATTTCCTCTGAAATTTACCAATTTTTAGAACCACCCTCAATAGGAAACCACATCATTTAAGTATGACTTCTTAAAACAGCAAGAAAGAAAAATTGCAGAGATGAGCTGCCTTTGAGTTTGTTTCCTTTTCAGCTTATAAGCTGTTAAAATAGAATGGCATAAAAACGTTTGTTGAAACAGCATATGGTTGTAATGGCATACACACTATTAAAAAAAACCAGGAACGGTTATATTTTTTCTGTTGCATGGGGATTGTTATTATAAGTGAATACATAGAACAAGAAATATCCGTTAGAAAATTCACATGCTCAAAAGCGTGGACCAGATGATAAAACACAGCTATGCTAAACCCACTTCACACTGTTGTTTAAGAAGATAAAAAGCCTCTTGCTGTTCGCTACCACTGCAGCTATTCTCTCCCCCAGCCCAAAATATGATTTATATTGGAAGAATTTGTGTTACCGCTTTCCCTTACTGAGGACTGTTTTTCTACAAATGGACATAATAAAATTACTTCTGTCCTTACAGAACAAGATAGAACGCAGATTGGGATGCTCAAAAAGTACTGGTTTGCTTTATATCATCAGTGCAGGCTTTCTTACATTGTCTTGGCAATTACTTCCCCTCTTGTCATAAATTACCATAAACAATCTGGAACACCACAGGTCAATAAAACCTAGGTATGTTGTCAGAAAGGCAACTTCCTTGATTTGGGTGTCTGATGATTAGCAAATCTCAGGCTAAACCTTGCACTTTTCACCACCAAGTTAAAAGAGATTTAATATCTATCTTAAGTGAACATTATACCTCAGCAAATACCATAGTGAATCTGAATTGCCTAATTGTCTGGTAAGTGCAAGCTTAATTATATCATATATCATGCGGCCATTCACATTGTTTACACCCAAACTGTACGCTAACCTCAGTTTTAAAAACCTCCATTACTGTTCTGATGAAAATAGTATCCTTATATGATCATAGTTCTTGGTCAAATTCTGGTACTGTTGCACCAGCCTGCTACGTGCATGCTTAGTCAAACTACCATAACAGAAGGCAGTGATCTTGTTGGCACTGGAAACATCAACCGTTAGGGTAAAAAAAATGGATAAGTTTAGTTACTTTTTTCCAAAAGCTCTTAATACAGTTTCTGGGAGGTGCTCAAACTGCTTTTCCTGAAGTCACCTTTAACAAACTATTCTGTGTGTTTTAACAAACAGAATTGAGAAGCACTTCCTGGTAAAAGACTCCACCAAGCAATTAGTAGCTTTTATGGAAGCTAGATGAAGAGAAGAATCTAAAGCATTTAGCAATTGCAAAGACCTTTATTGTCCGTACACTCCAAGGTCATGATCATTATTCCTATTATATCAGAGGACAGAAGGCAATTCAACAATTACAAGATTAAAAAAAGAAAAAGACATTGTTTCCCTGCCTTATAAGAGCCTGAAAATTCTGTGGTGCTGCCTTTTTGGACGTTCCAGTGACATAACATCGGGAGCTTGATTCAAAAACTGAATAATTGTTCAAGGCCAAGAACATAAAATGGGTAATTGTTCAAGGGAACGATGTGTGGGGAATGTGAGTGATGTGATTAGACATGGTGTCAATAAGGATTTCAGGGTTGTTGGTGAGTGTAATGTTTGATTTTTCTGCAGTGTGATTGACTGAAATCTTTCCCGTCATATAATTAAATCATTATTTTATCGTGGAAGCTGTTTCATCGTATTAAGAAATGGACAGGCTACAAAAATACGAAGGACGACATAGCTTCTGTAACAGTTAAAACTTTGTATTCCTTGTCAAAAAGGCTGAAGGGTTGCAAACACCGTGCCTGGGAACAAACCTTTAGCTGTAGATTCTGATTCTGAAGTTTGTTCTGTTTTTTCTTCGCCATTAGACTCATCCACTTCTGCTACTGTAGTTAACTCCGGTTCACTCTTATAAAGCCTATAATCAGGACCCTGAGGAACGACAAGTTATGAGGTAAATAAACAGGCATTTTCATACAAGCATTTGTGTCTTAAGACTCAAAACAGCTATTTTGTGATGACTCTGCTCTCACTTTAAGATAATGTTTCACTGTTCGAGTGCTACTGCAGCAGTATTTCTTTGTAGTTAATTTCAGTAACAGCATTTGCAGACTTTCAGAAATTACAGAAGAAAATTGCCATAAAAATGCGAAGGGGTTTTGTGGGTTTTTTTTGCTTTTAAATGGTCTTCAGGAAACAAAGTTGTATAAGGCTTCAGCAAAAACTGATTCTGAGCCTAGAGTTTTTTTAAGAACTTGTGAGTAGAAGAATTTAGTTTTCTGACATTTACTCAGGTACAGGGCATTTAAGTCTTAAGACATTTTATATATGCACAGAATATATGACAGGAAAATGTGAAGAGCAGATGATGGAGCTATAAATAAAACTAAGTAGCCAAAAGTGAAAACGTAACACAAAAGTAGCCAGATGACAAAATAAAAATTGTGACTGTGCAAAGGAAGGGGGATGCTTCAAGAACAATGTGGCAGTTTAAGCCACTTACACAGTAAGATCCATTTCTCTGATATCCTTGAACTTGGTGAATCTTCTTTTCTTCTGGCAGATGTACTGGGCCCCTGCTATAACAGAGCAAGGAGCTGCTATCACTGGGCAGAGGGGGGATTATGGGAGGATGCTCTGTAAAGTCATAGGACCGAGGGAGTGGAGGACGAGGTGGGACTACTTCCTCTTCCTAAAGATTGTAGAATAGTCACCTTATTTAGATGTGTACACCTGTTACAATTATTTATAACTTAAAAAGAAAAATATATTACCATAGCTACACCAGCTATAGATTTTGGAATTAAAGGGACAATGTCACACTGAAAAAAAAAAAAGGCCAAGACAGCTTTATTTTCTTTGGGGTTTTTTTTGTTCTTTTCTTTGCCTTTTTATTTTATTACTACCACCTAGACTGAGATACTTCAGTAGTTTCATTATTCAGCTTATCAAGATTTTCAATTCTAACACCTGCACTTTCCGTTGGACATGTATGAACTCTCTGAATCATCCTTTTAAAAATTAAATTCAGTATCTTTTAAAGACTTGTATATAAATTAGACCTTTAGAAAGTCCTGTAAGCCAGATGTATATTGCATAAACTTTAGACAACCATGACAATGTCCCTTTAAAACTGTAACTTCTAGCCAGATTTTCAGAGGAACTGAACATTTGGGAGCTCCCACAGTTTCAGCTGTTCTTGTGGGTGCTCTGGCCATCTGAGAACCAGGCTCCATATGTGAATAGACATATAAAGCAATGTATTTCTTCCCATGAGAAGTGTGGTGGGTAGAAAACAAATCCATAAATCAGGGTTTATATTTCTAGGGTAAGAGCCTAGGGGAAGGAAAAGGTGAGAAATGGAAAAGAGAAACATACCGGTGAGAATATAAAGACACAGAACAAATGAAAGTGTTAGAATTACTAGTGGAGATACCAGTCTTTAAAACTAATTCATAATGCAATATTTTCACAGAAACATACTGAATACATACTTCAGGCATCCTTAAAACAATTATAATAACGCTTATTTTTATCATATGTATATTAGAAATTCAGTGATGCTAAAATGGTAAATATACTAAAACCATACCTCATTTTTATATTTAATAGCTGAAAATGTCCTTGATCCCATGATGCCTGTTTGGAGGGAGGGGGGAAGGCATAGAAACAAAGAGAAAAATTGTTTTCAATAAATAGCTTCTAAAATATGAACCATAACCTGTTGCTATCAAACAAATACACAAAGCATCAACTTAAAATAGATGATTGCTTTCTTCTTTTCTCAGCAATTGTACCATTTTTTCAAACATACAAAAGCAACTATGGAGCTTATCCTTCAAAAATGTATGTGATCCAATCTCACTTCCTACAAGATAAATACAATCAGTTTACCTGCCTCTGAAGAGCTTCTTTGCTGTTTATGTTTACTTAAACCCTCCATGACATCTTGAATTCTCCACAGTTCCTTCTGAATCTGAGCACGCTGTATCCCTGCTGACTCAGTCTGCCAGTAAATAAACAGCACGTATAGGCGATAAATTAGAATACATTGCAAGCTGAAAAAACTGAAAACCTTTTTCTTGCTTTAGACTACACTGCATATCCTTTCCCAACGAAGGAAAATAAAACGCAGTCATGACAGACACTCTCCTTTCCCATAAAAATGCAACATTCAAATATTGTCAGAAACAAAAAAGTATAAGATTAAGTAATTTCGTAGTGTGTCAGTTAATTTGACAGCAATTGGCTAGTCCAAACTCCACTTAATAGAATTGTATCTACTGTCGCCAAAGAAAATCCAAGCAAACTTTGCACAGGAGACCTACATACGACAAAAGAAAAGGAATCTTTTTGGATTCCTTGGAATCATCAAGTTCCAACCCTAAAATAGGTGGAGATGAACAGACTGTTTGTTTGCATACTAGCATATAAACTGTGGGCCTATTTGCATTCACGGCCATGCGTGCTTTGGACTGCAGAACACAAAATTTCTCAGCTCTTGGGCATCCTTGTAATCTCCCTTTCATAGCTGCACAGAAGATCAATCCCTGGAGCAAATAGCCTTTAATGCCTCCCAGCATGGACCACACCCATCTGCCTATTCCAGATAATGTATGCACATCTGTGTGTGTGTGTATGTGTCTCACAGAAAGATCTCCTTAGAAATTCAGAACTTACACTAACTGTCCAATCCTCCACAGCACAGCGAGCTAGTAAGATACCGTCAGAACTCTTCATATGTAAGACCTGAAGCAATGCTTAGAATATGTTTTATTATAATTTATTTTGATAGAATGATTTAATTGCATTTTAAAATGTACTGAATGGAAGGACTACTAATTGCTATGACTATAAATGTCACAGCAATTAAGGTCTGAGAAAACTACCCCGTTTTGGACACCATCACTGAAACAGAAAGAAGAGGCTTCCAGACACAGGAAAACCAGTGCTGTAGCTTCAAAAAAATAGGAAAAGCTGAAGACCTCCTCACAACTTACAAACTTTTAATTTCTTTTTATACCTTGTAAGTTAATGCACCATGTGTCCCCCTTTTCTCATTTGTGTAGTTTTTAAACAAAATCATAGAAATTGAAATTACTTAAATGTACTTTAAGACCTATGCCACACCTGAATTTCTCCAAGCCGTTCGAGTTGCTCCTGCATATGGCTCCTTGTTACAGTTACATCATACTCCAATTTATCATATTCTCTCCAAGCTCTTTCCAGTTCCTAAGTATATAACAAAAGTAAAGAATTACAGATGCATATTCAAGTAAAAAAAAAAAAAAAGGCTATTTATTTTTCTTCATTCAGTGGCATGAAACTTCAGGAAGTAATGCATAAATAGATATCAGCAATAAATAAATATGTATTTTAGAGAATGCAATGTTTAAATAGCTTTTTGATTTTTCTAATGATACTGAATGGAATTCGAACAAACAGCATTTTGTCTTTTCACAAACAAAAAAGATAGGCAAGGGCAAGATCTTCAGAATATGTCTTTATAGTCAGCAGGCATGCGGGCCTTAAGCTGTCCTTCCACCAAGGCAGAAAACCCACAAAAATGGATGCAAATTTGTCTCTTTTATCACACAGAATACATATGTGTGAGTGCACAGCATGTGTGTGTATACACAATGTATTATGCAAGACAAATGTAAGTCATCCAACCCTGCCTGTAAGGTCACCAGTGAATGCCCCAGGCCTGCTGATACACCATTATTTTACATATGTGAAACTACAAACAACAGAAGGGAGAAGGTGCAAAAAGAAAATCTTCTTTGAGGTCAGCTCTATCATCTCACTTTTTAAGCCTACGTCAAGCAATTTACTCAATTTAGCATAAATTAAAAAGTTAATGAGGGAAAGTATAACCTGAGGATTTCCTTTCCCCTGATTCCCTTTTCCTTGTCCCACCAATTCCTTTTACAACATAGTGTAACGTTCAGCCTAAAACCAGTATTTCAGGGCCTACTTCGTATCAATTTCACCACAGCAAACCACTGGAATTTGACACTGAAATACGTTTTTGAATATATATGTAAGTAGCAAAAATTATTCTTTACCTTGTCATTTCAGTGTAGAAACCATCCAGAAGTGGAAAAGGACAGTAAATAGCAATTCCCTTCCTCTCCTTTGTTTGTTTGTTGTGGGTTGGTTTTTTTTTTTAGGTTTTTGAAAGTGCATAACTTGAAAGATCTTTTAAATATAATGGCCCACTGTTAAGACAGACCATGACAGTATAATCTTTTCTTCTTTTCATCCTGCAGCTGCTTTTGCTTAAAGTCACCTATCTGATCAAATATCTGATAAAATTTGTGCTTGCTACTATTTTGCCACCACGTAAAATAGCTTGTTTGCATTATTTACTACTTCTGTAATCAATTTTTCATACTATAAAGATGAAAATTACCACACCAATTAAAAGTCAGCATGCACTCATTCCTGGCCAAAAAAAAAAGTGAAGAAAGACTACTCGAAGAATACAGTGAAAAGATCACTTTCCAGCTGCCTTTGACAAAAATGCAAGCAAGTAAAGGACAACTGAGTTTTGTTGGAACATAAGGAAAAATAACAAAAGACAACCCAATTAAGAACATGAACACGAAGATAATCATTTAACACTTCATTGAGTTTTACTGGGAAGAACGTATTACTTACTGCAGTAGCTCGCGATACTTCTCGACAAGTGCTAAGTAGTCCGTTCTGCAAGTCATCTCTCTGTAAGACTACATTTTGTATGGCTGCGGGATTATCTGCATTCATTTCTATCTCCTGACTTGCTGATAGCAAAGCTTGCTCAAGCGTGTACTATTATAACAAAAAGAATTATTTTTAATGTTCTGCATCATTGGGCTGATTTTAATTTTATTTCAGTTACCAATGTTCTGGTAATAAGCATGTAAAATAACATCCACTTTAGGTAATAAATACAATTGTCCTACTTTCTCCTTGTGTAGCTGTTGAAGCTTCTCTTCCAGTGCTTGTACAGCTTTATCTTGTTCACATAAACGGCTAAGCTTAGCCTAGTATAACAGAAAATTATCGCAATTAGGATTTCACTTTTAACATCTTCAGCAATCAAAATATAACTTGATCAAATCATTACAAGAATCTATATAAAATTTTATTACCACAAAATGTGAATTCTAAAACTCTGAAGGCATCAGCGTTGTATTTTCAAATTAACCTAAAGAAACCCTCTTAAGATATTATGAAGTAAGTGTTATAACCTGAAACAGCATGGCTCAAAACACGTAATTTATGATTCTACAGCTAAATCTTTACAACTTAATAAGAGGTATTAAATACCATTTTAATTTACATATTCCTCAGTATTATAAAGAATATTGCATACATTCCCGGTTTTTCCCATGGTTCATTTCAGGTTTTTAATAGTTAGTTACTAATACTATCCATGTTCTGCTGTGTTTTACCTCCGATCGAGGCTTGGCCATGACTAAAACTGTTCCACTCCAGCTCCAGTTTGAGCAAATAACTGTTCAGTGCACTCTAACCAATTTGAACCAGTTTACTTTTCTATTTGAACAACTTTTATGGTTCATTTTGTGCTGCTCTGACTTTTTAACTCTAAGATAACCCTGGAAGCCTGCTTTCTTTTTTACTTTTAAAGTAACATCCCTTAAATCAGTATCTCTACTCTTAGTTGCATTGTGCAAGAATGACTAGACATGCATATGTATGCATATACAGTATGACTATTTGTGCGTGTTTTTCACCACTGATTTTGAAACTGACTTTAAACACCAAGCCCCTTTTCTTTAGTAACTAGCAACCCAATACTCTGAATGGTAACTACCCATGCCAAATTTCAGTTTTGGAACATCGGTCATATTTCCTGAGAAATTACATCTCTCATGCTCGTAACTGAACTACAGCTACAGAGTTCTTCGCTTCCAAAGTAATTAATTCCTTTCTAGAAGCAACTCACCTTTGAACAGATAGATATAATACTTGAAATTTCTGCCTAAAATGTAATACTTCCTGCAAGTTAGAAGCTTATTACAAAAAGGATCTTATGCCCCTCAATTTCACAAAGCAATTTCTGTTGGTAATCACCTGTATGAACTGTGTTTCAACCCAGAAGTCAAGGGGAAAATTATTATTAAAATAAAGAGACAAATACCAACATTTCCAAGAAAGAAATACAAATGACTTACATCAATATCCAGCTCTTCAGTTCTATATTTGTATAGTGTACCCCTACATTCTTCTTGTGTTAACTATAAGGAAGAATAATATTGCCATAAAACAACTTAATTGGACTATGAAAATGAAACTACTGTTCAGTTTAAGAGTTGTAAAACAGGATTCAGCTTTTGCTTGGAAGTCAAACATACCACATTGAACAATATATTTTTAGCCAATAAATATTAATGAAGGTAAGTAAATGGAATGTCAAGCAGACTGTCAGTAGAAAGTCGCATTAACTTAACTGGCTGTATTTCTAATGCAAACTGGATTTTTAAAGATGTACAGCTAACTCAAACATGGATTATGTACGAAGATGAAACTGCCAGAGTACACCTAGACACAGTTATGCATCATTATGTAAGTTTTCTTATGTGCATTCTAAATACAGGGACTCATCCTACTTGGAATTAACCATTCTAGGCCCACTAAAGTCAAGTGTATTCACAAGGAGGATATTCTGATGTGAATCTGAAGCCAGAACAGAGTGACCTAAGTATACAAAATACGTGTAAAATATCTCGTTACAGACATATGTCCAATAAGTGCCGCCAAACACCTTTCTGCCTACTTTTTCCATATGGATTCCCTCCCCTCCAACAGAGTGTTCCCAGAAATGCCATAAATGGAAGCCCTTCTGTTTTATCTTTGGACCTAGGCAAACTTGTCTCCTCATGCCAGTCAGCATGTAAGGTATCTTCAAACTACTTTCATACAGCTCCTCCCATTAAGTTCTTAACTCTTTCAGTCTCTGAACTGACCAGTAACAAGATTTAAAAATATTTTACATGAAAAAAGGTAGCTCCCCATTTTACAATGGACTGTCACACACAGTAACTACTTAATGTCCTATACAGCAAGCATTGGCATAACACTATCAACCTTCATATTCTATTTAATTAAAAACACATGTGCACTGAGTCCCAACATAGATGCTTTCCTTTCATGTATCTGTCATAATCAGGTCATCGTGACTTAATAGTGCAAGAAAGACTATAAAAACACAAGTCCATGTTAAAGGACACTTATAAATAAAAGGACTAGGGAAGGGTTAATCAGACAAGCATTCCAAACATACAATAAATCTCCAACACACTTAAGTGTTTCATTTCAAGACATTATGTCCACATACCTCATGCAAATGCACCTGGTGACAATTTAAAAGTATGTATAGTGTATTAAAACCACACAGTAACTTTCTTTGAAATGGACATTTTATGAAAACGAGTGTTGGAATATGAAAAAAGCCACAGCACTTTTGCACCTCATGAATGTCACAAAAATTAAGATATCTATTTAAACTCTTACTATTGTAGAGTTGTGTTTTTTAACTGTTGATTTTATCACAATGAGAGAAAAATGAGGAATGGAAATATTTAAAAAAAAAACTCATAAACATGGCCAAATGTCTTTTACAGAGAAAACCTAGTTATATTTCACAACCAAAAGATTTTACAAAAGAGATAGTACCCCTATTAGATAAATACATCTTCCCAAGACACTGCTTAGCATTTTATATGGCTTGCCTGGAAAAATGCAATGTTATTTCTTCAAGCCAGTGTTTTTTACACTTTTTTTATTTTTTAAAAAAGAGGCATTTAATTTTTTGGCATTTCAACCTTAATTATAGCTGAGTTTAAAATAGCTTGCCAATTCAGCATCCTTATCCCTGCCTACCTCCTAAAAGGAACATATTTTAAGAATTTGGAAAATGAAAACACATTTTCAAAGAATACTATACACGTGCTAATTCTTCTTATTAAAATCCTATCACACTTAAAATTGCTGCCAGCTTCTCGCTTTTGTCAGCACTACTAGTTTCCCACAATAGGCACTGCTGGAGAGCCACTTCATTTCAACATTTCTACTGCAACATTTTACGTAGACTTAACGTGAAAACTCTAAAAATAGTATGAAACACCTAATCCATCTCTGACGAAACAGCATCTCCTCTTTCCACAGCACATCTATAAATCAGCTTAAGGCAAAAAGTGCAGAATGCTATTCCATCCTACTGGAATTATGAGAGGAATCGCAGTAGACAAAATGCAATTACACATTACAAGCAAGGTTAACAACCTCATAACCCTGGAAAATGCATTATAAGAGCTCCAGCGATCAAGTTATCGAAATGTATTTTATGTCACGTCCAACAAACACCTCTCTCACCAAATCGTTCCTACAAATACTTTACCAGGACAGTAATTTCAGAGAAAGAGTGCCACCTACTGAACCACTGATGTGACTTGCTGCTGACTTCTACACTTTTCCTCGACATTTGCCTACCCAAGTACAAAAAAGTCCATTCCTCTTAGCATGCTGAAATACACTGCACAGCTCCCAAACATTAAGGAGCAGCACCCTGAATACCTACAAACAGAACTTACCATTTTTGAAAGGCAAACTGCACATGCGGAGTTTGGCCAAACATGTATCTTACATGTGAAAAGGTAAAGTGACCTTAATTGAACCTCCATCTATGTTAGAAACAATTTGTCATCTACTTTACAGTCCCACTGTACAGTCCCCATCTCCGTCAAACGCCAGTACCAGATGAATCACAGAAGTGGATAAATCCACCACAATGGACACAATATAAGATGTCCTTAGAGGGAAATTTCTTCCCAAATAAATGCAATTAGGCAAATCTCTCTCTGGAGACATGAGGGGTTAAACCTATTTAAGCAGTCAATATTAAAAACATTTAAGTGACAGTATTATTTGATTACCTTATAAGCTATTTTCAGATTCCGCTAACCATTGATTCAATAAATATATGGCAGGAAATTTCACACCCTGAGAGCACACTAAGCATCTCTACAAGATACTGCACTTTGGAAATTAAAACAGGACAAACCAGGACATTTTGTGGGGAGCACGAGGTTAAAGTCAGACTTCCAAGAGGCTTTTTTTTTTTCTTTTTTAAAGTACTTCTTACGAGTAGGAAGCAGGGCAAATGGGCATTTACCCCAACAATAAGCAAGATTCTCCTCTGATTTTGCATAATGTGACAGATAACATTTCAAATACAAATTGGAAATACAAAATTTTTAGCTCAAATGCAATCATCTCATGTTCATAACAAAACCTGAAAAATATTTCTACCTACAAATCTCAAAATCTAATATGCGTAAGTTTAAATGTATGCAGCTGCTATAATACTAATACTGCTACTACTACTAAAGTATGCCATAAACAAGATCTCCCTATCCTTATAGGAGCAAAAAAATCAAGGACTATTTTTATACATTTTTAATGTATTAAGAACAATTATCCAAGCAAAGACCTGGATGTTAGCTTGTTGCACTCAGATTTTCATTTTTCCCCCTTTAGGGAACTCACACACGTAAGAGGAACTGAGGATAATTCTACTTTTTAAAATCAGCATATACTGCTTTAGAAAACAAGATTAACACTCCTCACCTCATATTAGAAAGAAGCAAAAAAACCCAAGGTAGAAATGTGTCCAGGCTGTAAAAAGCCTCTGTTTTTCTTGTCTGTACAAATGGAATCGGTGCCCTGGCTTATACTTGTAAATTTACAGTACAGTCCGTAGAGCAGACTGATATAAGTCAAAGTGATTTGCGTAACTGTGAAGATGTAACAAATCACAAACAAAAATGTCTTTTAAATAACACATTTGAAATAGTATCTATTTTAGCTATTTTACTAAAGAACCGTTAATCATTACAAACAAACAGGAAGCAAGACACCTTAATTTTTAATTAAATACAAGCTTTTCTTGCTTTCCTTTGCTTCACTCTGAATGAGCTTAGTTATAAAACTGAACTGAAGAAACTGAAGCAAAGAAAGATCCTTTACCCATAAGGAATGGTCACGGTCATCAGAAACTAGTTTATCATCTTGACAACAAAACAGTTTTCAGTCGCTTACAGAGAGGCTTCTCCCAATTGTTTACATTTCTTTAAAACTGCAGTGGGTAAGAGGACTTGTAAAAACAATTTATTTTATTTGAATAAAAAATTATATGTTGTTTAAACTTTAACTAAGATGGCAGAATTTTAAACAGGCTAGTTTTGCATCACGAAAGTTTAGAAGACTATTTAGGCAGTGAAATTTTGAGTGTATTTTTATCCTTTCCTGGAAGTCAGTTAATGCAGTATTTTGTATAGGAAACTTCATCCGTGAAAGCAGGTGGTCTTGCTGTTCTCCAGTTTATGCAATACATGGGTGCTCCTGCACAAGCCTGCCAACGTGTCGCAAACGCTCTGACCTGAAGAGACCACATCCCTAGTGACAAAAGGTTATTCGATCTTCATGACCTGTTAGATTCACTGTTTCTTTGACAAGAATGTCAAAGAAGGTGCTTATTCAGTGTCGAATACGAAGCAGCAGGTATGTCTACAAGGTGAAGGCAGTGCTGGGTAGCGATACCTTAGCTGACAGCATAGCTTCATCAAGACAGCACTCTGAAATTTATTGGTGACCCTAAATAAGTGGGTCAACTAGCCTAGGCACAGCTATACCTCAAATGTGTCTATATTAATATTAGAAGCTGCGCTAGTTTATCCTGACACAGCCAAAGCACCTCTGTTCATTATATATATGTTGACTTATTTGTCTTACATACTCTATTACAGAAAACTGATTTGCTTTAAGAAAACCCGTAACAGCTAGGCTTCTTTAAAAAAAAACTACAAAACCCAATTTCAATTAGGGCTTGAGGGCACCTTACTTCTCCCATTCCTCTCCCAAACAGTTCCTTCAGGTTCCATGTTAAAGCTCCTATTTTGCACACAGGAGCACAAATTGGATGATCCTGAAAGCAAAGTCACTCACAACCCAACTTCCTTTGGAAAGCTGAGATTTTTCTTGCAACTTTTCTGGATCACAAGCAAATCTACAATGTGGAGAGTTGACTTCCAAAAAAAATGAAACATGAAATTAAGCTGCAGCATTTTTTAGAGACATGGCAAAGCGTTAATCACTAATAAATGACTGTTCTACATGGCAGAACGTCTCCTTTTCCTCAAACTATGCAACATTTATGTCATTTTGGCTCACGAGGGCATAAACGCAAGTGTAAGGGAACTGGTCAGATACTCCCTTCTGACTGGCAGCCAGAATCGCACACCTCAGCTACTGCAAACTGCAATAGTCGTTTAAGTAAGAACAACACCTTTGTTGCGGTTGAGGCTAGAAACTTCTTAAACATTCCCTGATGTGACAGGAGCTATTCAGTTAAGCCTCAGTATCCCTAGGACACTGCAGTGCCAACAGATACGTATTGGCCATGCTCATAAGTTAACGCAGGTCTCAACTCACAGACAATATTTCCATTCACATTTCTGGTTCTTCTTCCATCTTACCATTTACAACCATCACTAGATACTCGGTAAGTGTGCACGATTAAGTCTGCTGTGACTTTATGAACAGACACTGCCTTTTGGATTTACAGTCCCCAGATCAAAGTAATTTTGATCCTTCCTTTCTTCAGTGGCTAAAGGCTTGGTAGGTGCAAACAAAAACTTGTAAATCCACTTCCTAGAACAAAACAAAATTGCCAGAAATGACCAGGTAAACACCACTCACATGCTTTTGTAGTGGTCAAAAGAAAGAAGCACCTTTGAACACTAATTGCAGAGAATCATGCTAAGACAAATGTTGGAAGCTTATTAGAAGTTTCATGAATTTACTGGACACCTGCATAAAACATCAACTAATTAAATAGTCTAGACAGAAAAAGTTATTCAAAAGGGTACATTTAATACTTAACAACAAAAATGCAGCAAAAGCCATGCTAACGATATTGCAGCATTTTATAAAGCATGGATGACTTGTGGTTTTCCAAAGCAAATAAGAGAAACACCAATGTTATGAATAATTCTGAGGAACAACCAAAACTGTCACTAAGGAAAATTTTCGCAGATGATAAAGCAATTTCATTCACTATCCAAGACCTTACTTGCTGGTACAGTTGCGGTCTTAGCGCCGAGTTCTCAATCATAGTGTGAACCATGGTGATTAAAGGTTCATTCTCTTTCATCTATTTCAAATCAGGAGGAGCATACAGCAAACATCAGTTTACAGCATGGCTAGATTTGAAAGACGACACTGTAAAATATAGCCTCTACTTTAATTTTTTCTAATAATGCAGTAGATTACATTTTATCCCATGCTTTTTATATATTCCATCATTCAGTAATATCAACATCTGAAAAGTTTAATAATATCAAACAAATGTAGCAAAACCACATAAATGCTCAAAACCAATGTAATATTTATTCACCAACACTCTCCCTTTTTAAAAATAAAAATGCTTAAAATAAGCCCAGCTTTGCACAATATTGAAATGAAAAGTATTATCGGATTATGCAATAGCACAACTCAAACCTTTATCAGAAAACCTTTTAAATTATAGATTTAATAACTCAATGTACCTTAAAAAGATATAAGCATTCCCAGCCTCTGAATACTGAAGCGAGGTTTAGACTTATTTTCATGTATCGCAAAATGCCTTTATATACGGCATTGATTTATATACTTTGGAACTTTGAATCATTACTCACTGTATTTTATCCACCCCCATATACAGGCGTGAAACTATTTTGGAACTGGTCAGACATTTTCTATAATGATTAGTATTGATATGTGTGCAAATGTCAAAACCAGATACTTTGATTATTACAATAAAAATAGCGTACATTTAGGATTTCAGAAAAGTATGCAACACAGACAATAGTATGGGATTTTTGGTTTCAAAAAGGAGACTTTCCTAACAGTAAGGGAAAAATTATGAAAACAGAGAGTTTTCCTCTCCAAAAGAAACTGAAAAGTCACTTAATGCACAATCCCCCTCCTATTTCTGTTGGAAACTTGAGGACCTCTTCAGCAATACCTGTTTCAAGTATGGTTACACAGGAAGGAAGTGTGTGTATGAATATTTATGATCTTTCACTCTGTCTTTGTGCATGTATATGCACTCACCATGAATTTGCATGGCAAGGTTTTGTTTCACAGACTGAAACGCAACAGAAGGCCTGAGTTTTTGATGCCTTTTGGCATTTCTTGCCCCTAATTATTTAGGAAAAAACTTAACTTGTACATTTGGAGAAGTATTTTTTTTTTCCTCCTTATGGGAAACACATTTTTCTTGTTATAGATAGAGGACCTTTTTGTTGTTGTTGTTGTTTTTTATACATAGTAAAGTCTGATCAGCTGCTATGTTAATCACCCAACAAAGAGTACCTTATCTTAAGAAGTCAAGCTTATGGTGCTCTGTTCAAGGCAGGAAAAAACCCAAACAAGCAACCCCTCCCATTCGCTCCATCATCTACAGTACACGTAAACAGAAAACTAGAACTGACACAAGAAGTTGTTCTCCCTTTACATTAAAATTTTGTCCAGAGAGTGGGTGCACCGGGTGATACCAATAGATATCTCAATAGTAAGATCAACAATAATAAGGTCTAAAGCCAAGCAATCAAACTACAGCCAACTGAAATATTTGTAAAGGAAAAATTGCTCTGAGGCCGAAATATTTTATTAGGAGTATATTGGTTTAGGTGCATTTTTATTAGGAGGATTTCAACAGCCTCAGGCTCTTTGGCTAATTATTTTTTACAATATTTCAAATTTTTCCTTTCTGACTGATAACAGACAACATTGGAATTAATTTCTGTGGAACCGTTCAAAGATTGTTTTCATCCAGATTAGAAAGAAGCGAAGCGGATTTGCTCAAAAGATGTTCTGAAGTAACATTTTGTCCTCCAGCCAGCTCCAACTTTGATTTATAGGACTCCTTCCAATATTTTTACCACCATTGGTACTTAACTGTGCTTATCTAACACTGTTTGCAAAGGCCAGTTATTTCCAGAAAAGCTCCAGTTCCTTAAGCCCTTATGGAACAAAGATCAAAACCAAGATAACTGGTAAAGTAATGCCAGCCAAAGAGCCTTCGTAGAAGTCAAATATAGTAAGTTTTTTTCCCCTTTAGGAAATAATATTTAAAAAAAATACTGACATTTAACTATTGAGAAGTTCAGTTCTTGAGGGAGTATGTATCTGTCACAAACCTTCTCTTAACTAAAGCTAGCACACAGACAAGGCAACGCGTACTGAAGAACTAGCAAAGTAAACCAGCGTTACGTGGGACACAATGGCAAGTCCCATGCTCTAAAAGGTGAAGAGGATACCTATTTTGTGCTCTTAAAGCATTATCATGAGGCTATGCCCAAACTGAAGTTGGACACTATTCACACTGAATAAGTAGCTCAAAGAAAAATATGTGTTTGTTCATAACAGAAATAAGCCTTGATTTTCTCTCACTTCAGGAAAAAAAGTATTTTGTACAGTACAGGACACCTTTTAGATCCTATGTATGATACTAATAGCATTATATTCATACAGACTCTCCAATTAAAGAAGTCACAAAAATCGGAATTGAGTTTAATTAATTTGGAATTAAACCAAACTGAAGTGTGAACTGCCTGATGCCACACAGAAACATAGCACTAAAACCAAATAAAATCCAGTAGTCTTGACTTTATCACTTTCTATTTCTAGTAAATAACTCTTTCTCCCCAGAAGTGATGCTTCATCTTCACTTTTATCTTTACTGATGTAATATATAAAAGCATTTTCCAGTTGGAAACAATGAAAAAACACCTCCTTGACTTATGCTCTATATGAACAGCTACGCTATTTATGAGCGAGCATCTGAGTGGGTATTTTGTGTTTAAAACTGTAGAGCCAAGCTATTGACAATTTTTCTCTTCCCTCCTTTCCCTAAATTCTCTTCCGTGTTTGATAAGACCCTACACAGATGACATTTCAGTATGTCCTGTTCTGGTGGCAGCGATCAGCTGGAATAGCGGCTCCCTATCAGGACAGTTGACCTCACTGATGAGATAAGACCATATGTTATGTGTGACAGAAGACTGAGCTCAGGATTGGCAGTTTTATCCATCTCCTCTCAAGCTTCCTGAAGGTAAAAGCATGGCAATAGGACCTGACCAAGCTTTTCTCCCACCTTTCCTCTGCTCTTTAATCTTCTGTCCAAAAAAAGAAGGAAAAAGCACTTTTCCTTCCTGCCTTCTATTTACAGCAGTGCTGCCTCCAGCAGAGTCTTTTTTTCACCCTACAGAGCCCCTGTCCTTGAGCTTCCCTTCTTCCTCTGGGGAAGGGAAAAGGAAAAAAAGCAGCAGCAGAAAGAACAACAGTGGTGGCTGGGTCAGCTCACTCTACCTTTTCCAGATAACCTGAAAAATACAAGTAAAAGTAGTATCTTGCACGTTGCTAATATAGGACATAGAATTTTAGGCTGAAACACAAGATATCCGATATAATACAAGATATCTGTCAGCTCTATCCAAACCCCCTTGTACTATTCCAGCCTCCCTTAATTTACTATCTTTCCCCAGAACCACCTTCAGCTTCTTAGAAAGAGGGTGGTGAAGAGAAGAAAACAGAAGCAAAACACCAAGACAGTATGGACGTTGGCTGTGGGACCTTCACTCCTTTATTTGACAACTTCTTGTTCAAGTTCTGTTTATTTTTACGCACCCTTTGAAAACTGAAAAAACTAAGAATGAAAGTACCAGCAGAAGTATATGAACAACTTAACACCTAAACTATTCACATAAGCAGCCATTTCAAAAAAAAGGGGGGGGGCGGGGAGAGAGACTAAATAAATGAAATGTAGTAGAGCTTCTACTGTGACAAACCAACCTGGGATATGCTGAGATCAATATGACCATGCATGGAGAGTTTTACGTAGATAGCTTGAGCTCAGTAGAAAAGGATTTTTCAGCCAAAGAAAAGTTTTACTATCAACATAAAATTAAGAAGCATACTAAAAGACTGGTTTGCTGGAATTCTCCGTAGTAACAGAAAGATTCAAGTGGGACCTCCTGCCATGGCTTTATTTACAAAGGAGAAAAAAAAGCGTATCTAGCTTTTATTTGAAAAAAAACTGTGTTCCAACTTTTCATTACTGTTATTGTAATTAGTGGGTACAAATACATTAAGGAGACTGCTGGCTTTGGATTTAGTAACATACAATAAGTGATCCCTTAAAATTTGATAATGCAGAAGACTGAGATTATATGTGTCCTCATAACACGTCCCGCGTGGCCAAACAAATCATCACTGCCTAGGGCTGCTAGCTATGTCCAAAGAACTACTCCTTAAAAGGCAAATGAGTCTCTCTCCCACCTCTCTTTGAACCCTGAGCCAGCAGAGTGGTTCACAACCTCACTTTAAAAAAAAAAAGGCATGCCTGACAATCATTCTTTTGGCCATAAGACATCAAAGAACTCATATGGCTGTATATATGCGTGTCGGTCTCTTCAATCTTTTTTTCGTCTACCTCTGAACTCCAACAACAACAACAAAAATTCTGAAAGCATAATACAAAAACATCAAAAAGCATAACATAAGAATTTTGAAGCATCTCAAAAGGAAACAGCAGTTCAAAAAAGAAGCGTGACTTAAAAAAGGCTATGGGATATTCTTGAGTCTTGATAAGAAAGCGACCTAACCAATAGACAACAAGTTACTGCAACAGCCTAACAGTTACCCTCCCTACACATGAACTTTAGTCTGCCTGAAAATTCACCTGTGCAACCTCGGTACAAACTCACTAATTATTGTTATGCATGGTACTGAATTCTTTGTGACCAAAAAGGTGAGAGTTGAAGACAGGACTGCAGTTCCACCACATGCTCTAGGCAAAGCAGGTTTTGACACTATTTTCAGAGATTAAATATGAGTGGAAATACCTAATTTAAGTACGCTGGACATTTAAAATTCAAAGAGGGCAAGTGATTATGCAAGCTGGTTACAGATGTGGATAACGAGGAGGAAAGGCCTCAATTAGACTAAAAGAAACTTTGATCTTTTTCTTCCCAACATAAAGGAAAACTGATAATGGACAAAGTAACAAAAAAAGATATAAATGAGATACACCCCTAGAAGCAGCGGTACTCAAAGCAAAAAAACCCTCAGGGGGATTTATTTCATACAGGTAGGTGGCAGTATTATATT